AAGGAGGTGTCCCCTGTGTTGAAGTGTGCTATTAGCCAAAACTCTGCTGGCTCAGACCTGGATATTAGTTGTGAGGACAGTGGCAGTGAAACACTGAGCAGCAGAGAGCACATGGGGATCATTTGGTTCAAGAAACAAAATCTCTTTTATGTGTTTATAGAAAATGTGTGATCTGACATTGGTAGGTTTAGGTTTTTTAAAAGTTGAGGCAGTGTGGTGTAAGGGGGGACAAATGCATTGGCCTCAGAAAACCAAGAACAGAATCTCAGGCCTGAGTTCACATTCTGTTCTTAAAATGTGACCTCAAGATCCCGAACTTCCTCTAAATCAGGCATCCTCAAACTACGGCTCGCGGGCCACATGCAGCCTGCCTAGGACATTTATCCAGCCTGCTGAGTGTTTTTGCCACCGCTGCCTGTCCTGCTTAGCAGCCGACTTGTCCCGGAGCCCACAATCCAGCCCTCCAATGGTCTGAGGGACAGTGAACTGGCCCACTGTTTAAAAAGTTTAAGGACCCATGCTAAGTGATCAACTATCTAGGTTTGCCTGGGACGCTCCAGTTTTGTTATGAAAATCCCATGCCCTGAAAAAATCCCTCAATCCCAAGCAAATAGATGCCTGGTCACCCTAATTGTCATCTGTAAGATGAGGGTAATAATAACTTCCCCACTGAGTTGTACTACAGAATGGTGAATAAGTAAAGCATCTAGCACAGCCAAGAGCAGGGTCTCCAAATGGGAACTATTAGGATCATTACACATCTCACTCACATTTCCCATTCTGCTTGCTGTCAGAGCACAGGCTCTTCTGTTTCCGTTTCATTCAACACAATCAACGCTTCTCTTGCACTATTACAGGCACTCTCATTGATGCCATCACATTCCCATCACATTAATTCCTACACTGTTCTCCCTGTCATTGACTCAATGGTCATGAGTCCTGCATCATCCTTGCTGGAATCTAAGAGACAACTTTTTGTTTCCTACTATGAGGTGCTGCTGCAGTTCAGATGTGAGGTGTGAAGGCTCCTGTGCCCACAGCAAGCCTGACATATGTGGGCCCTCAACAGGTGCTTGCAAAATGAGAGAAGGGTTCATCCAGAAGGAATAGAAGAAGCAAGAGAGTCGTGGTGAACCGATAGTGAAAGCGTCCATTGTCGCCCTTCTCTTCTCTACAAGCTCTTCTCTTCTATCATGGATTTCCAGTTGCTTCCTATTGGAGCTGTGTCACAATCTTGCAGGAGTCTGCCAAGTAATATGAAAAACCTTCAGTATACTTAGTCTAGCCTGCTCCCTTTCTGGCCCTGTCTGACTATTCAGTTCTCAAGCCTCTGGTTGCTCTCCTGCTGTGTTGAAACATCCACTGGCCTTACCTAGCTTCATCATTGGGTCTGTCTTCAAATTCAAAGAACATTCTCTTGAATCTTTGCCTTTCCCGCTCCACTGTATCCTACCCTCTGGGTAGCTCATTTTCCATTGCCGTCCATTTTAACCAAGTCACACACCTGCTCCCAGCTCTCCCAGTGCCTGCAGTCTCAGAAGCTAGAGTCAGATGTGAACTAGCAACAGGCAATCAAGCTGCGTCCTTTCCCTTCTCTGTCTTGCAACTTAGGACCTACCTTCTCCCAGTTTTTCCTAATAGCCCCCCCCAGTATCTAGCCTACCATGGTGGGCTCAGAAGAGACAGTGTGCTAGCCACCAGAATTACAAGGGGCTAGGTTTTGAATAACAACTGTGCCATTTACTACAGCATGAAATTAAATGAGTGTTTTCACTTTTCTGAGCAGCCTTAATTACTCCTTTGATAAAATGTGGAGAAGAATCGTACTTGTAACAAAATGGAAATAATTATTATGGGAATTAAATGAGGTAATATATATCTAAAGCTTGTCCCTGTCGATTCCTTCACTCCCATTCATCCCAATACTCCATCATTTCTACGATTGCCTAATTCATTTCTTAAAATTCTATGAGACAAAAATCACTGTGAGAATTCTAGAATATATCTCTCCAGGTACTTTGTTCTGCCTTTGGTAAGCTCTTGATATCTATTACTGGACTGATTCTGTATGCAATATACAACTCCACTTTCTTAGACGATCTGGGCTGGGGGTGGGGTTAGGACCAGAGCATCTAGGTGCCTCAAGTTATTTTAAAAATAAAAATATGAGACCTGTATAAAGGGAAGTCCTCCATGGGCACTTCGCAGAGCCACAGGGGAGAAAGAGGAAAGCTCACACCCCTGACCTCTGAGCTTAGCGTTTTTCTTCTTTCCACTTTGAAGCAGTGAATAATCAGCACATCACAGTTCATTTAGATCTAAATCCAATTAAGTCTGACCTTAGGGATAGTTACTCCTAGCTCCCAGCAGGTGTGTGCTTGGAAGAAATTTCATCTGTGCCCTTTGTTCAATTTTTAAATTACCCAAGTTTATGGTCATGTTGGGCCTAACAACACCACTTATTGAATGTCCAAGGCAAACACCTGTTGGCTTAAGCATCTAGACATTTATGCTGGAAAGAGTTTTAAGAAAGAAATTGCCTCTCTATTTATGGTATGTGGAATAAATCTGAGAGTTTTTTTTTTTTTGAGCCAGAGTCACACTTTGTTGCCCTGGGTAGAGTTCCAAGGTGCATCACAGCTCACGGCATCCTCAAACTCTTGGGCTCAAGTGATTGTTTTGCCTCAGCCCACCAAATAGCTGAGAGTACAGGTGCTTACCATGGCACCTGGCTATTTTTAGTGATCCACCCACCTCAGCCTCCCAGAGTACTAGAATTATAGATGAGAGCCATAGCACCTGGCTTGAGAGTTGAAAATTTTCTATAGGCTTCATCAGTCCTTCTGCTGGTTGCTGGCTCCTGGCTCCTGGGTAAGATTACTCAACCACCCTGCCCCTTGGTGTTATCATCTGTGGAATGCCCTGTAAGATTGTTGTGAGGATTAGACCTAAATAGGTAATTCCAGTGGTACAAGGCCTGACTGGTACTCAGTTAGTGATATTCACTATTAATATAAGGGGTACTATCAAGACATACCAGGAATTTCAAACATCGGGTCAGTTTTCACTGTGGGAAAAACCGTATGTCTGTTTGTGTGTGCATGTGTGTATGTGTGTGTGTGTGCGTGCATGCATGTATGTGCCAGTGTGATATTTTGATCAATTCTTCTACGTATCTTCTGTTAATAGTGCCTATCATTTTAGAAGTCATGTTTTAAAATATCTAAATTACAGATGCTCATAAAGGTTTCTGTTAAGTAACAGAAGAGAAGGGTGTGGCATGGTGAGCCCCGGGGAAGATTCCGATCCTTTGCTAGGTACTCCTCAGATATTTTCTTACCTATTTCTCACACTTCCCTTGTAAAGTCTTATTATTTTCATTATACAGGGAAACAGAAACAAGTGTAATTAAAAGCATAAATTCAAACAAGGTCTAACCAACTCTAACTTACCTCCTACTTATCTTGGAGATCAGAATACTTGGCTGACACATCATGATCCTCAACGATTAACCTCACTGCTCTGATCCGTAATTTTCTAATCTCTAGAACAAGGGGATTGGATCGGACAATTTTAAAATTCCTTTCCAAATCTCTAAGCTTAAAGGAAGTTGTTGTAAAATAAATCTTAAAATAAATCTAATCAAGGGGGACACCAGGAAAGCACCCCTTGTCTGTACTTAGTCCATGAGTCTTTTTGGGCGTCCATCCTTCTTGTCACTATAAAGGGAAAGGGAGGGAAATCGGAGCCCCTGTTGGTTCCTGCCTTAGCATGTTGTTTCCAGACTGCTTTTACTGGCCCTTTTGTGACCTTGGAGGCATGATCTTCAGGATGCCAGAGCTCTCCTCCCCCACCATTATCCTTCTACCAACCTGGCTAATGACAGGCAGCTTGATCCAATCCAGAGGATGTAACTAGGTTCTGGGTGAGAAATCTAGCTGGTGTCTTCTTTCTCCTTTCTCTTCCACTGCAAGAAGACAGAGGAGTCCAGGAGAATGACCAGATAACCAGAAAAGTCCAAGAGAGTGGCAGAGAAAACTATGGCTGGATGAGTCTATGACTCTCCGGGAATCTATTCCAGCTCTCTGCTGCCTTACTCTGGTCCATTCTATTTGTACTGAAGATCCAGGTCTTGACGCTCTTTCCAACTGTCCCAGTGGCCTTGCTTCTCACTCTTTCCACTATGTTGTGCTTCTACACTTTAAAAAAAAGTACATACATTGCATTATGATTAGTTGTGGACATGTCTATCTTTTATTTAAATTTATACTCTTGTGGTTCAGGACCACAAGGGCACTGGCCATATCCACCAGGGCTGGCAGGTTTCGAACCCAGCCTGGGCCTGCTAAAACAACAATGACAACTGCAACAACAAAAAAAAAATAGCGAGGTATCATGGTGGGCTCCTGTAGTCCCAGCTACTTGGAAGGCTGAGGTAAAAGAATCACTTAAGCCCAAGAGCTTGAGGTTGCTGTGAGCTGTGACACCACAGCACTCTACTAAGGATGACATAACGAGACTCTGTCTCAATAAATAAATAAATAAATACCCCTGTAAATATATCCATACAGTTTGATATATGGTAAGGCTCTTCCAGTATCTTGTGTTGAAAGAACCAAATACTATACAGAATCATTGGCAGAAACCTTGTAGAAAGAAGCTATTCTTATGTTTGAGAGGAATGATGTATCCAGCTTTGATAAAGCCTCCTATATCTGGACTAACCAAATAGATACAGTAAAAGGCAGTTCTTTAATTTAGAAAAGTATTCATGGAGAATATCTTTTAAGACAAAACTAATTTATTGAATATTAATATGAATGTATAAAGGTTTGATTAATATATAATTTTTTAGGAATAATCTTTCTCATGAGACTCTTAGGTCCATAAGGGCAGGTAACAATATATTTGATTTATTTTGCATTATACCCCAAGTGCCTGGCATATAATAAGCACTTAATAAATGTTACCAAAGGAATGTACTGTTGAAAAAAGAAATAACCCTTTTGTAGTAGTTCGTAAGCAAGATGATTGTGTTTTCACAAACCTGTGAGATATGCCTCCCTCAAACCCTGTTACAATGTGTGCTCTCTACATAAAAAGAGAAAGAAGGAATGAAGAATTGCAACTATTATTGAAATGAAGGAACACAGTGTGTTGCCAATCTCTGCTACAAATTAGAAATGACTTTGGAAATACTAGTGAAGCAAAATACACTAAAACATTTTAATCCTCCTCATTTTCTGTTTGGATGAATGTAAATAATCACTTCTTGTTAGTACTCTAAGTCGAGAAATAGTAGGCATGAGCTGACAGAGAGCACAACGCAGGGTACCTGGACTATCTGCATGTCTGCTTGTCTTTGTAATAATGACATTATTACTAATAAGCAACCCCAGAATAAATAGTCATAATTAGCTCTGAGCAGTTAGGATCTTGCTCAATAAAAATAATAGCGTTAAAATCACTAAGGAGGCGTGGACTGTAGGCCATGTTACGTTATCTTCTTCATGGAAGAGAAAAGGCAGAGGCAGGTGGCTGGTGATTTCCATGGATAACACCAAAGGAAGATAAGCCAGATCTCTAATCGAAACCTCACTCAGAAAAACCAACTTGAGAGAGGATCTCAAATTTCTCATTATCTCTTAGACACTTGCTGTTAATATGCTGTTGATTCAGTGATTATGAAGGTGGCTACCATCCTGGCTTATATCAAATATCTCCAGCTAAATCACTGGCAGGATATACTGTGGAGTGTCTCAGGGTAATGGCTGAGAAAAATTCCCATCTTGGTTCCCTTAGAGTTTAGCTGCTTTTCACACCACCATCATTTAAAACACTACATTTCAGACCCCACAGCAAGCATAGGTGTATTTTTTTGTAAACAGGGTTCAAAGAAGAGGGTTTAAAATGTTCACATTGGAAATTCTGACTTAAGCAGTGAAACCAAAAGGCTCCCTCTGTCCATAGGTCACTCACCCTCTGTGATTTGGAAGGATCACTCTTTCTCTCGTTACGTATTTTATTGTTTCTAGAGATGTGTGGCAGGTCTTCAGAGCAGTCTCAGAGAATGAATTGTGGGAGACATGGCTTCCAAATTTGGTCCATCTTCTCTCTGTCTGTATTTCTATAATTAAAATTGAAGCAAAGTTCTAGCACTCTGGGAGTCTGAAATGGATGGATTGCCTGAGCTCAGGAGTTCGAGACCAGCCTGAACAAGAGTGAGACCCTATCTCTAAAAGTAGCCAGGCACTGTGGCAGGTGCCTATAATCTCGGCTACTTGGGACATTCAGGCAAGTGGATCACTTGAGCCGGAGAGTCAGAGGTTGCTGGAAGCTATGACACCATAGCACTGTACCAAGGGGAAAAAAAGTGAAACTTTGTCTCAGAAAAAAAAAAAAAAATGAAGCCAAGTCTAATGAGCTTTAATGTTGCAAGGTCATTATGCCAAATTCAAAGCAGTTAGTAGGAACTCTTAGACCTATGATTCACTTTAAAATCATTAAAATTAAATACTATTCTTCCCCAAAAAGTTTAGAAGTTTTTAATAAGTCTGTAACTCCCCACTAGGATAGAGAGGTGAACATTAATCATAAAGGGGCATCCAGAACTAAAACAGTAACCAGGGCTGAGCACCACAGACCAGTGGGCTCCCTCACAATGGACCAGGGACCTGACTATGTCCTTTCTCAATCGTCTTTGTGCCCCTCGTGTTGTGCAGAGTACCTGGCACACTCAGAAGATATTTGACCAAACACATGAAACAAGTTACAAATGAATGAATGAAAAGAAATGAATGAATGAATGCAGAGCCAGGCTGCCTGGGCCCAGTTCCATTGCGTGTTCACTGCCTTGCTCCCTCACTGCCTGACACTTTCATTTTCTGTGAAACTAGGATACCAGGAACATCATGAACAGCTTTTAAAAGGATTCCCCATCAGAGCTAATCACCTGTCTTTTTTTTTTTTTTTTTTGAGACAGAGCCTCAGGCTATCCCCCTGGGTAGAGTGCTGTGGCCTCACAGTTCACAGCAACCTCCAACTCCTGGGCTCAAGCGAGTCTCCTGCCTCTGCCTCCCAAGTAGCTGGGACAACAGGCACCTGCCACAACGCCTGGCTATTTTTTGGCTGCAGCCATCATTGTTGTTTTTGGCAGGCTCAGGCTGGATTCGAACCTGCCACCTTAGGTGTATGTGGCTGGCGCCTTAGCCACTTGAGCCCCAGGCGCCAAGTGTAATCACCTGTCTTCTAGCTAACATATCTTATTTACATGAGCTCATACCAGGTCAAAGAAAGGACAACATATCCCTACCGACACCAGTGGATCCAGTCCTCTCTTTGGAACACAGATAGGTGTGATGTTTAAAGGAAGTCTGAATGCATGTAACAGGCCTGCTATTCCATCCTTGCCAAGGGTTAAGTGAGTCTTCTACATTGTCAACAGAGTAGAAGTTTACCTTACCGGGAAATCCTGGTAACACAGAGATATAACCAACAGGAGCCTGAGGGAAGTGTAGGATTGGCATCTACCCAGACTCACTCAGGTACAGTTGTGGCCATTTTTTTTTCCTGTGCTTGCAAGGGGGATCATAAGGTACAGAGAATTAAATAGTAGAGCCCTTCTCTTTTCCTCTTAACCCTATACGACTCCTTGTTAGCTTTCCTCTTCCTCTGTGTTCTCCACCATCTCCCACCCTGGTCCTCCACACTGGCCCTATGTCTTATAATTTGTCTGGAGGGTCATAAAAACAGCTGAAAGTGTAATAGTACAGAAGTCATTTTGCTTCCCACCGAGTATTGTCTGTGCCTGGAAGAAAGAATTGCATAGAAGGGCATGGTATAGACCAATTCCACTGCTTTCCAATCTCCTACAAATGATCCAGCTGTAGGAAACAGCAAGACATGGTATTTCATAAAGTCCCTTCAGATGACTTCCCGAGAAATAAGCAGTATCTGGCAGTGCGAACTGTGATCATCAAGAATGATTAATATATACTACTGCTAATGGCTGTAAAGCACTTCATCTTCACAGCCAATTATATAAACTGTATATCGGTGGGTAGCATAAAACTTCCCTGAAGACTGTTAGTGTCAACAGCCAAGGGAAGATTCTACCCTTTCTCTTCCTGTGCCATTGCAGGTGGATAATGAGGAACACTTTCATTAGAGTTATGTCAGTAGACGCCTTTATTCCTACCCAACATCCATCATAGGCTTTGTGATTAAGAAGGTGAGAACTGAATTCTCTGAGAAGAGTTGGAGACGTGGATTTGTAATGTTTAAATGGAAAAGGGGCAAAGAACGAAATAATGACCCCTGGAAACTTTGTCTGTTGGCCCGTGTCATTTGAGAATGTAAAATGTCACTGAGGGTTATCACTCGTAAAAAATGGTGCTGAAAAATATGTCAACTTCAGCTGAGATCTGAAAATTCTTTAGCATTTTTTGTTTTTTTACTGATTAACTTCTATCATTTTGTCAGTGGAAGCCAAGATGAATTTTATAATTTGACCTATCATCAGAAAATAAGAACCATTAAAAGACCAAAATAACAAAATATCCTTGTTAAAATATTTAAATATATTTAATTTAATAAGGCAATTTATTGTTGCTCTGAAGTCCTTTCCCGTAGGAGAAATAAACTACCCCTATAAAAGTCTCCTGAGTGTTGGTGTCTCATAAAATTCTAAAAACAGCTAAAAATGAGATGTTTACCTATTTAGGTAGATTAAGCAATGTTTAATAAACCATTAATTTGACATAGTAGCTACCCTGGGTTACTTTTTGGAACAAGGCCCAGATTATGGGCTGCTTCTTCTCATTTGGCTAATACAAATTATTTAAAATGTGAAACAGGGTAGAAAAGGAAGGGGCCGAGAGGGGTGCATTAAAGGGACACATTTAAAACACAGTCTACTTTGGCTGTGTACCAGGCCACATTCTTGATCATTGTAACTTTTAAAGATGTTTGCAAACATGTTTTTAATTTAGATATTGACAACAAGTTCTAATTTGCAAAGAGTGCCAGGTCACTTAGTAACGTTTTATTGCAGCACTAAAGAACATTCAGTGTGATGAGTTATTTTTGCAAGTAAATTTCCCAGGTTTAAGTGGTTAGGGTGTATTAAGTTAGACTTATAAACTAATGAATTCTTTCTGACTAGATTTCTGCCAGGAGCAAATAATGAAGCTTTTAACCAGGAAATAATGAAGCTACAAATTCTTCTAAGGATATGGTAGCAAAGCCATCCTATAACATCATACCATATGAGCGCTACAAAGGAGGTTCACAGGCACAAGATTTCAGAACTTGTAACACTTTTCCCCAAAGAAAACCAGATTCCCATTCTAGGTCCAGAGTTTAAAAGGAAAGGTAAACTTCTATTTAGTAGATTGTGAGTTTTTTATTGTCTCATTTGGTTTGATGACTATTCCCTAATATATATCTCAAGTGTATTTATTAATAAAACCAGTCTGGGTGAAGTTTTTAGCTATGTCTTATTGCTGTTTAAATAAAAACACAACAGATACGCACACAGTCAGGCAAGCTCTTTTGGTTTAGGTCAACTTGGTAAAGAGTATTAGAGCAAAAATAGTCGAAATACAAAATCAAGGCAACTCTGTGCTCTTAATTATATGCTCACTTACTAAAGTTTTAAAAAGAAGAGACAGAGTAGTTAAGATACTATGAGCCCCAAAGAAGAGAAAATCCAAGAAAAATCTTCCTTAAGCACTGAGAACATTTACCATCTCCTAAGAAGCCCAGGCGCAGGGCTTCAGGATTGGTGAAGTCAGTGGCTCAGCAGCGCAGAGAATCTGATTGTCCCCCATCTTTCTCTGTGTCACGTAACAACTAAGAGAAGTGAGTCTATTTTTCTCCTTTTATGAGAAAAGTGGAGCTTGAAGAGATTAAACACATGAAGAGAGTTAGTCAGTTAAGTGGCTAAGCCAGGATTTCGGCCCACTGGGCTGAGGGTAAAGCTTGTGCTCCTAATCACACTAAATTCATAAAATCCATTGTAGGCGTGAAGCATTATCTAAGAAAATGAGGTGATGCTTATTATTAAGCGGAATAACGTACATGAGCATCCAGACAAGTAAA